AGATGGCTTTGTACTAGCTGACACACTCACCTGAGAAACGGCGCTCTGGAACTTCCATCTTCATCTAACTTATAAAGTGCATCTGCTCTCAAGCCATCAGCAACAAACAGCACTAATCTTCTTGCTGGAGGAGGCAATGGTGTAAACTGAGGAGTCATCCCGTGAACCAAAGGGGACGTAAAGTAAATGTCAAAGATGGAGGCAAAGAACACAAGATGTACGAGCAATCCCAAGATAAAGAACAGCAGCATAGTCAGTGTTAGGAGTTAACTTTCAAGCAGAAAACTGCAAGAGAAAACAAAAGCAAATTTGGGTAAGTATTAATGCAATTGTTAATATTTTCATATGTTTTGATGACATATAATTAGTCTTACATTTTAAAATATTCATTACTTGCAATTTCATGTTCATTTACTGTGATAAGGATAAACATTATTTAATAATAAAACATAACCTAAAATGATACAATACTCAAGTGCTCAAAAGAAAAAAAAAGTTCAAGTAAATGTAAGCAATTGTTGTTGTTAGGTGCCGTCAAGTTGGCTCCGACTCATAATGACCCTATGTACAACATCAGGAAACACTGCCTGGTCCGTGGCCTTAGGCAAGCCAACGTGTTGTTATTATGTGCCGTCGAGTCAGATCCGACTCATAGTGATCCCTCCTCGGGTTGCTGAGGCAGGATCACTGCGGAAGTAGATTGCCCCATCTTCCTTCCAAGGAGTGGCTGGTGGGTTTGAACCACCAGTGTTCTGGTTACCAGTCAAGTGCCTTACGACACTACCAGAGCACCTATGTAAGCCATTAGGAACAATAAACATTTCATGATAAACATAAATGCATACAAAGTTGTAAAAATTAGCATTGGCTCAAAGAACCAAGAAAGAATTAAGTCAGCCCTAAAATAAGAATAGAGAGTTCTTGAGTGGCACAAAAAGTGAAGTTCCTGACTACTGACTGAAAGGCTGGTGGGTCAAACCCACCCAGAGGTAACTCAGGACAGAGGCCTAATAATCTCCTTCCGAGAGACCACAACCCTAGAAACCCTGTGGAGCACAGTTCGACTGCACGCATGGGGCTGCCAAGAGTATAAATCAACTCAACAGCAACTCGTTTGGCTTGCTTTTTTAAAATAAGGAAGGCTTCAGTCAAATCAAATCCTATGGACTACTATGAGTTCCATACTCACGGTATTCTTGGTTGCTCACATGGCAACTGTGGCTATGCTAAGGAATTTCAAATTATTGAGTATTTGTGGATCTAATTTTTCTTGATGCCTAGTGGTCAGGGCTAGGGACTTCTGGTGGCCCTAAGGGTTAGATTTTATCCACCCTTCTCTTGCCTATCACTAACTGAGAAAGTAACATAGGAAAAAGCAGTTAAACATGTTTCAAAAATTTAAACTTATAATGAAATCATTTATTTTTAGGTCCCTGAACTAGTATAAAGGAGCTCTAATGGTGCAGTGCCTAAGGCATCTGACTGCTAACCAAAAGGCTGGTAGTTCAAACCTACCAGCCACTCAGTGAAAGGAAGCCGGGGCAAGCTACTTCCCTAAATATTTACTGACTCAGAAACCCGATGGGGCTTGCTATGAGTCAGAATGGACTCGATGGCAGTAGATTTGGTTTGGTGTTTTTTAGTTAATAAAAAGAACAAGATTGTATTTATTGATTCACAAAAATGTCCTGTATGTATACTATGTGCACAAGCTGTGTGCATAATTCTGTGCTGGGGTACTAAAGAGACTAAGAAGCCACTGTCAGTCTGATTAGGTTACAAGTACTTAGGGGAGAAAAACTAACCAGTGTGAAATATCAAATACTATAAATAACCTAGGATTATAAATACTGTATGTAATTATCAAGAGTAAACTGTCCGTGAGTATCAGGAATAACTCTGTGTTGATTGGAAAACACCCCTAAATTACCTCCGACTGTAGTCAAGGAATGACGTCAAACTTCTAAACTTCGTAACGTTTGATAAAGGTAATCACACCTTTCTTTAAAACGTCCAACTTGTAAACAGTCAGTCCAACAATCAAAACCTTGATTCCAGCCTAAATGCATACACCAGAAAAGCTTCAGGTCCTTCCAACGCTGACAAGGGCAGTGACTTGACCAGGTTCTCCAACGTCTCCAGGCTTCAGTTCACTTACCTCTCTAGGGAGGCGGTGGAAACTGGTATTTTCAAGGGACTCTGTGGTGCGATTTGTGTATTAATCCTACGTGTTTATTGAGCACCTAGTAGTATGTAGGCCCAGTCAAGGTTACCAGGGTGTCACAGGTGCAGAAAACTCCAAGCCTCAGAACCCACTTTTCCTTGACGGCTTCGTCCCACAGATGGAGAGCTGAACCCCGGGGGAGGCGCTCTCCCTGCGGTGCACGCAGCCGGACTGTCGCCAGGCCTCTAGGGGCAGCAGGCACATGGCGGGAGGGAAGGAAGAGGAAGCCAAGTTCTAACTCCTGCCCAGGACACACTCGCTCCCTGGACGGAGAAACGTCACCAATTGTCAGCAGACATCGAGAAAGGGGAAGCGTTCGCAGGCGCCAGACCGCAATTTCGGTGCCGCTGCACCTCAACTCATCAACCCCTGGACTTTCCTGGGGATCATCCGGGTCAGATCCGACTCGGAAATGAGGCCACCTCAGCCCGAATGTTCATTAAAGCACTCGGACAGCACACCTTCTGCCCCACGGAATACAGAGACCACCCCTAAGACACCACACAACTAGCCCTCCACCACTGACCACCCCTGACTCCTACCGGGTCAGCCGTTATTCTCGCGATACTTCCGAGGCCACGCCCCTCCATCTGAGGCCTCCCGCCTCCTCCATCCTCCAATCAGTCAAGAGTTGGGAGCGAGATTTGCTTTTGAGCCGGGAGCGTTGCCTTCGATGCCGGCTCTCTGGCATGAGAATGGGCGGGGCTGAGGCGGGGCTCCTACAGTGGCGGGGCCGCGAAAGGGGACCAACACGCACAAAATCTCGCGGCACTGAAGACCAGGAAGCCCTCTACACAGCTGGGCGGTGACTGCACACATGGCTGTTGCAGCGGCCGCTGTGGCCTCAGCAGCTCCTGCTTCCGAGCCACGCCAGGTCGTCCCATGGGCCATGCCTGGGCCCTGGAGACGCGCAGTGCCCACTGAGGCCTGTCAGAGTCAGGGAGGCGCCCTCCCTCCTGACAGGATAAGACGGCGGCGATGGTACCTGGAGGTGACAGTAGTGGCGGCGTCATGAATATATTCCTCTGCTACACTGACGAGAATGACGACAAGGTAGCGGCGACCCAGGAGCAACGGACAAGACTTCGGCTGGGCTCCGGGGGTGGCCTGGATCCTGGCTCTGTGGGCTCGCTGTCGCCTCAGGATCCCGTGGCTTTAGGGAGCAGTGTGCGGACAGGGCTTTCTGGGGAAGCGGCTGCGGTGGCGCTGGGGACCTCGGGAACACCCCCGCCCGACTGTCCATTGATACGATCGTCGCTCAGTTGTTGGGCGATCAGGACTTGCTGACGGCCCTGGAGCCAGACACCCAGCTGTTAAGAGCAGCCGCGAGTTGTTAGAGAGCGGCCGCAGGCTGCCTAGGTTGCAACTGCTCCTTCAACCCTGGCAATTTTGAGAGACCAATGAAACCTCGCTCGGGGGGGAACGCTGGACTTCCCGGTAGCAGCCCCCCTTAGTTGTCTCCTATTGGGTTCAGACTCATGGCGACCCCAAGTGTCAGCATAGACCTCTCCTTCTTGTTGTTAGGTGCCATCCAGTGGGCTGCGACTCATAGTGACCCAATGTACGAGAGAATTGAACACTGCCAGGTCCTGTGCCAGCCCCACAATTCTTGCTACACCTGAGCCCATCGTTGCAGCCACTGTGTCAATCCATTTTATTGAGGGCCTTCCCATTTTTCACTGACCCTCCACTTTAGCAAGCATGAGATCCTTCTGCAGGAAATGGTCCCTTCTGACAACATGACCAAAGTAGGTGAGATGAAGTCTGGCCACTCTTGCTTCCAAGGAGCATTACGGCCACACTTCTTCCAGAACAGATGTTAGTTCTTTAGGCAGTCCATGTTACTTTCTGCATTCTTCTCCAACACCACAGCTCAAAAGCATTGACTCTTCTTCAGGTCTTCCTTATTCATTGTCCAGCTCTCACATGCATATGGGGCGATTGAAAATAAAATGGTTTGGGTTAGGCGTGCCTTAGTCTTCAAAGAGACATCTTTGCTCTTCAGCACTGTTGCAGCAGATTTCCCCAGTGCAATGCACTGGGAAATGCCTTGACTGCTGCTTCCATTGGTAGTATGGAACCAAGTAATTGAAATCTTTGACAATTTCAATCTTTTCTCCATTTATCATGATGCTGCGTATTAGTCCAGTTGTGAGCATTTTTGTTTTCTGTATGTTGACGTGTAATCCATACTGCAGACTGCAGTCTTTAATCTTCATCAGTAAGTGCTTCGAGTCATCCTCACTTTCAGCAAGCAAAGTTGTGTCATCTGTATGTCACAGGTTGTTAATTAGTCTTCCTCCAATCCTGATGCCACGTTCTTCTTCATATAGTACAGTTTCTCGGATTATTTGCTCGGATTAAGTGTGAAAGGATATACAGCCTTAACACACTGCCTTCCTGATTTTTAACCATGCAGTGTTCCCTTGTTCTGTTCAAACGACAGCCTCCTGGTCTATGTAAGGCTCATGAGTACAATCAAGTGTTCTGGAATTCCCATTTCACACAATCAAATGCTTTTGCACAGTCAGTAAAACACGAGTAAACACCTTTCTGGATTCTCTGCTTAGTCTGTGACTTCTCAGATCCCCAGGCTTTTCTTCCCAGGAACCTCTGCATGGGTCTTAACCACCAACCTTTCAGCTGGTAGTGGCACACTTAACTGTTTCCACCACCCAGCGACACTAAATAAGTACAAGTTTTAATATGTAGACAGGTAGAACAAAATTAATGTCACCACAGTTCATTTATAACCTGTAAGTAATGGGTACAATTTATGAACTACGGCTTTCCTCATCTAGACAAGTTCTTTTACTTCATACAAATATTGAAGCATCTGTTTCAAACTTTAAAGCTAATACAAGCCTATAAGAATTAAGCGTTTACATTTATGAGACAGTAAAAAATAGATTCTACATACAACATCTTGACATCTAAGGGAGTTAAAACCTGTTTTTTAGAATGTCAGGAAATGTAGGTGGATGTGTAACTTACAAGAATATTGGAAAGTAGAAAATGTGAGATAAAGAATGAAGCTTTTGCATTTGGGATATATATACACTTTGGTATGCCAGCAATATTAAGTTGTTTTAAAAGAGATTAACAGTGATGAATAAAATGAATCTCAAAAATACAGGATAAATATGCCATAGATTTTTTTTAATATTTTTTATCTTTTAGGATTTTAAATTATGGAATATCATATTAAACATTTCAAAACCTCCAGGTTTACAAAGACAACATGGAAAAAATTAGTCTAAGGGACTAGTGGACCCTATGAACCTCAGACCGGCTACCACTGTCAACCGCTCAGAAAAGGATCAGTGCAGGAGATTCTGGATAGAGTGGGAGAAAAATGTGGAACAAAACTCAAAATTATAAAAAAAAAAAAAAAAGACCAGGCTTACTGGTCTGATAGAGACTGGTACAATCCCTAAGACTATGGCCCCTAGTCACTGTTTGGGCCTGGAATTGAACTCTTGTGGCTTCCAGCCAAACCAACAGGTGAATAAGGTGAACATTTGTATCAGGTGGCTATACTCCTTAGAACAATCAATCATGGCAGATCAGAAGGGCAATATTTGCACAGGGACATAGCTCAAAGGGCAGGAATATATAGGAAAGTAGGACACGGGGAATAGGTAACCACAGGGTGGAAATGGGGAAAGAGCTATTACATTAAGGGGATTGCAATCAGTGTCATAAAACAAAATGTGTATGAACTATTGTATGAAAAATGAAATTGCTCTGTAAACATTCACCCAAATCACAATAAAAAATAAAAAGAATTAAAAAAAAAACTCCAGGTTTATGCAAATCCACCAAGATTTTGGAGTAACTGGGAAAGATCTTGTGGATGTGACCAGTGGTAGAAGATGAATTCCAAAAAAAAAGCAAACTCACTGGCATCCAGTCAATTCTGACTCATAGCAACCCCCTTAAATCATGTAGGCAGCCTTCCTCCAACCTTTGAAACTCCTCCCCCGTAGAGCTGAGAAATCAGCTAGCCGGCCAAGACTATAAAATGAGATCTTCGGTTGATTTTAAACCTTGCTAGTACAGAAATTAGAAGATAAAATTATCTTATTAAATCATGAGAAAGGTCTTTGATGGTGTGAAAAAGATGACTCAATCATTTCTTAAAAAAAAGTTTTTAAAGAAGTTGGTAGATTACATAAATGAAATGCTTTTTTTGTAAGATATAAGTTTTACACATTTAATAATTGTGAAAGTGAATGTCTTGTAGTTGATCTACTGATTTAATGTAGTAGGAAGTCATTTTTTTCCCTAAGAAAGGAAAATCATACAATCATGGAAATCATGGAAATGATCTTACAATTGATTTTCTTGGAAAAAAAGAGTAAGATAGTTTGACTTCCCCTCAGTTGCATCACTATCAACAAATAACTCCTTCACATCAGCTTTGTGCATTTTCCATTCATTATTTCATTAGTATTTACAGTAGAGAGCTCTGGTGGTGCAGTGCCTAAGGCATTTGACTGCTAACCAGAAGGCATCTCTGGATTTGATGGAATTATTCCCAATTTACAAATGAAAATAAAAGCCTGATTGTTCTATTAGTTATGATCGTATTATGGAAAAGTAGTTACCATAATCCAAAACAGGATCTATAATAAAAGACCATATTTATGCTTCATTGGTAAGAGTGTATATCTACACTTTAGGTATATGAAGCAAAAGTGAATGTGATACAGAAAAAATTAATTATTGCCAAAGCATTTTTTGTTAATGTATTATACTTTTAAAGCCTTTAACCCATTGAGATGTATGCTATTGCCAATGTGCTAAACAATCTAGCAGTTTCTCTTTGTACAGTGAAATGGACTTGTTGAAAAATGAACACATTGACATGCCAGTAATATGTGATTCTATTTAACCTTTGGATCAGTCTTCCTGACAAAGACTGAAGACAGTGGACAGAATTCAGTTGTATAGATGAAATTGATTCCACTAAATAATAATAGTGTCCAAAACCAAAACTCAAGCTTGTATTGGTATGTAAAGGTCAGTTACTGGAAAATACAAATAAAAATTGCTCCAAAATATTTTGCCCTTTAGAATTGTTCTACATATAAGAACCTAAATTTAATGAGAGGATTTGGTACTTTGGGCTAGAATTTCACAGTCAGAAATTTGGCACTTATCCCACTAATTATGATAGTGTGAGAAAGTTTAACCCACAGCTTCACAAAATTCTGTTAACAATACAACCTTTAGAAATAAGCTATTATGCATAACAGATAGTGAAGCTACAATTTAAAAAACATACTCCTTGTTAATGTTTTCCATGGGCAAGACAAAATGCCAAGCATTAGCTACATTTACACTGCCATAAATTTCATGAAATATCAGTACTCAGAAAAAAAAAAAAAGTGAAGCATTTAGTTTGCTGACTGTGAAAAATATCACTAATAAGTCCTTTCTCCTTGCCTTGGGTCCTGGAGGGTCAGACACTGGCTAGCAATCTAGAGTGATGGAAAAGAGATGCCACTCATATCTGTGCTTGCTGGGGCCATCTGCTGCTAGTCTGAGGCAGGCTGCACACTGTTGACCACTCAATTACATGCACATTTCATTTACTATTTTAGAATAGACCACTGACACTGCGTTTACCCCTTACAGTGATTTTATAACATTCTAATACCTGACTGTGAGCACACCTCACAATCAGAACCTTCTAAGTTTACACCCAGCAATGAAATACAAGATAAGCCCTCTGAATAAAGTTCACAAGGATGGAGGGGAGAGAAATTTGTGTTGCTTTAATTTTGAAAAACTAAGACGTGTAAGACAGCAGTGTTGCATGCTGAAGAAAAGTGACAAGTACCTGCAAGCACTGCTTTCTACTGAAGCTTTAGGAAATTCCAAATAACAAATCCTGGTTGTCTGTCTTGTGATGTGGTTTAGCAGTTACACTACTTGCAGATCTAGTGCTGAGAGGTGACAAATGCTTATGGCGCCCCTGGAGCCTGCCTTCAAGCTCAGCCCTAGCGCTGATTTGGGGCGCAGTCTGTTGCATGTGCTCCTGGGGGTTCACGGGAAGCTGTGCAGCTGGGGCTGGTCTGTTGCAGGTGAAGCTACGGAACATGGGTGAGAGGTGCTGCCGGGTGACGGGAAATGGGGACTGCTTCTCCAGACCTCCCCACTGTTTCCTGCATGCAACACATGAAGAGGAAATTCCTTTGTTCCTAGGAACCTGTAAATTCAATACTCCAGGTATAATTTCCTTTACAGCAGCAGAAAATGCTAGACATCAATATCCATTTTCCTAAAGTTTATTGAGTCCCTGATAGGGCTGTATGGCATACCAATCCATTTAAATTAGAGGTTAAAAGAAAAATGAGAAATGGGATAGACATGCTGAAGGACGCTTCCGCAACCTCACAGGAGACGGACTTTGGGTTTTTCCCCCAGTCTGAGTTTCTTTGTTGTGAGCAGCTGTGCCACGCCACTGACCAATCCCAGGAAGACGGTCATGAACATGACCATCGCATAGTTGGTAATGCTGCAAAAGGGGGAAAAGAAACATGTCACAGGCTGAGAGAACACCTGGGAGGAAAAGCATAAGATACCCTATGCCCATTCACAAAGGATTATATCTCGATAACATCTGAAGTCTAAAAGGCAGTTTTTGTTAACAACTATGAGGCTATTACATTGAGCAGGAATTCATAAGCCTTTATATGCCATAACCTTTTTGGCAGTATGGTAAATTCTATAACCCCTGTTCCAAATACTATTTGGATACGTATAATATAAAACACACAAGAATAATACAAGGACATAAGTGATGGATCAAGATTTCATACAAAGTTGTGATATAGTAATAGATGTATTTCCTTAATAATGCATTGATCCACATGATCTAGTGGCAGTCCTAACACTACTGTTACTCTCATGGCCAAGGCCACGCACCAGGAACACATGCCATAAGGACACCACTGAAATGGCCTGTTGGGGCTGATTTGGTTAGTGCCTCCCCTTCCAGGCACACCCTCACCCCACTGGGTAAACTTGTATGTACAAGACAAGACTCAATTTCTAGATAGGGAGCCACTTGTAGAAGTAATATTTGATTCACTAACACAAGTCAAATAAAGACTATGGATCTTCATTTATATGTCAGTAGAATTTATACTGTAGCTTTGAAATCAATGTTCAAGGCTATCTTTCTAGAAATGTCTTATATGAAACCTGTGAGTTTCTCAAGTCCAAAATACTTATCATACTCCACAAGGCTATGCATTGTGCTTTCACCCTCATAGTTCTGTTTACGTCCATTCCCTCTCCTACCCACTACATCCTCTAGTTGCAATTATACCCTGCTTTCAAGGGCCAGGTCAAATGCCAAACCTTGTAGGGTGTTTCCTCAGTTACTGAAGCCTGACATGAAGCTGCTTCTTGTCTGTGTTCAGATGTCCTTTCTCACATGCTAACTTGTATTACAGTCCTCATGTCCTCCACCCTATGTTAGACCATAACCTCTCTGAACACAGAGGCTATGCCTCATAATCCCAGGGTTGTAATGGCCCTTACAAGTTATATATCCTTCCATTTAGTGCTTAAAATCCCTAAGCAATAGATTATTAACGTCATTATCTCCAGGAACTCTTGTGGTGTAGTGTTAAAGCATTCAGCTGCTAATCAAAAGGTTGGCAGCTCAAACCCACCAGCTGGTCTGTGGGAGAAAAGATGAGGTAGTCCTACTTCTGTAAAGATTTACTGCCTTGGAACCCTATGGGGCAGTTCAACTCTGTGCTGTAGGGTGGCTATGAGTTGGAACTGATCCCATTCACCTCAGTGATTCACACCGTGTAAAGCACTTTCTGCGTGGAGCTGAGGGAAGGGCAGAAGGCAGACAGTCACTGCTGCCAAGGGGAAGAGAAGGGGAACCCCGGAGGCTCCAGTCTGTCAGACAGTAACACGGAGGGTAGCAGATTCTGGGTGGCCGCTGCCGCTCTGATTGCCCATCTTCTAGGGAATTGTTGAGCTTGCATAGGCTGGTCCTTCTCATTTTCTAGCCAAGATCACAGAGATTACTGCCACTTAATCCAATGCAGACTTTTACTTCTTTGCTTCTGCAATCTCTCTAACATTAGATTGTGTGACCTCCCTCCTTCCTGAAATGTCTTTTCATTTCCACAGGACTGCTCTCTCCTGCTTTGCTTCTGCCTTTCTGGACATTTCTCTTTTTTACATAATTGATATCAGAATATCCATTTTAAGATAAGATTTTTTTTTCTTTATTTGGTATTTCAACAATTTCACACATACAGTTCCATGACATAAATATATTCATCATATTGTTCAACTGTCACCCTTTTCCATCCCCAAATTATACCACCACCCTCAACGGGCTCAGTGTCCCCTAACCATTGACTTCTTTCCCCCTCTCTGCTGCCAACTCTGGTACAAACCCACTACTGTTGAGTCGATTCCAACTCATAGTGACCCTATAGGACAGAGTAGAACTGCCCCATAGAGTCTCCAATACTTTAATTCTTTATGGAAGCTGACTGCCTCATCTATCTGGATCCACTGATGGGTTTCAACCACAACCTTCTGGTAATCAGCCAAGTGCTTTAACCACTGTGCCACCAGGGGTCCTGTCCACTCCTGGTAACCCTAATAAGCTTTGGTCTCTATAGTATATTACACTTTCTGGCCACTTCTTTCAGTCTCATCCTTGCCCTTAAATATCAGTGGCTTCTAAGGTCCCCTCTTAGCTCTTTTCTCACTCTGCACACTCTCCCTAAGTCTTGTGACTCATCATGCTCTCTGCAAGATTAAAGTAGGCGTCTTGACTATGATCTATGGAGGACCTCTCATACCTGGCACATACAGAATGTAACAATTTCAATCAGACCCCAGAGTTAAGGGACTCATGGTCCCTTGGGGAAGCAGATATGGCACAAGTAACAAGCAGTGAGCTACCTGAAAGATGTGAAAAGGGGAGAGACTATGTAACGTGGGTGTCTCACCTAAACCTATCACAATTCCTGGTGACATGAAGTGGTGAATAAATATTGGGGCGGTTCAAAACCACCAGCCACTCCTCGGAAGGAAGGTTGGGCAATCCTACTTCCGTAGTGATACTGCCTCGGAAACCCAAGGAGGGGTCACTATGAGTCGGGGCCGACTCGACGGCACATAACAACAACAACAACAGCAACAACAACAATGAAATAAAATACTTCTGCCAAAATGTATTTTGTCTCTGAAAACGAAAAGGCAAAACTATCAAACATACCTGCTTGGCAATTATTGCCACTGAAATCACAATAAAGAGGATAAAGTGTAAATTATAAACGTTATAGGTATCACATGTTAAAATGTTCCCATATTAAAGATTCTAAGAGCCAGATAATGATCATATGGCACTTAAGCCATCACATAAAATTTAACTACAATATGAATAGCCTCATTATTTAAAAAAAAAAAAAAAAAAGGAAGGAAGGAAAGAAGGCAGTTGCGCGAGGAGGAGAGGGACACACGCCTGAGGGACCGACTCTGAAACCCCAGGTGCAGCCATTCCTCTCACACCTTCCTGCTGTCCTCCAGTTCTCTCCACACTCAGCACCTATCTTCCTCCTCATATCTCCCAGAAATATGATAATGCATCAACACCAAGAAGAAAGGAGGAGATGACAAGTGTCACCTTCAGAGGCTTAAAGTGATTGTTTCTTGTTATAATTCCCTCAAATCACTTTGGTGCCTGCTCGGTGTACAAAAATACCAACTTAGTTTTTCACTGTACTCTTAAGAACTTCTATGTGAATACATACTTACCTTGTTCCAATGTCAAGCCAGCTGCCATAATCCTTGACCAAGAAGAAAAATTGCTGGAAAATAAAACAAAGTATGGTTCCAACAATTAAAAGGAACTTAGATTCAATCTAAAAACGAACTTACTCTAGGAATGTGTGTTCTAGATTTCTGATCCTTCAATATCAATAAAATATGAACTTTGCTGAAATGTTTACTTCTACTAAAATTAAAAACCAAAAATAGAAGTATTCAATTAAATGAATACAAGAATGATATCTGTGAATGAGAAATAAAAAAGAAACAGCCAAGTTTAAAGACACTAAATAATAGCAAAGACATTAAGTGAAAAGAATCTACATCATCCATCCATTCAACAAATATTTACTGATTGCCTACTATGTGCTAATCACTGTGTTAGATCCTGGAGATCGATTCTCTTTCATAGGGCGTATGGTCTAGTGAATGATTCAGTCAAATTATCAAGCAATTACACACACAGTGTGATGGGTGTTGCTCTCAGAAGACGCAGGTAATTATGGGAAACAGGAAGGGATATGCACCCCTGACTATAATATAAGGGAAGGCTTCTCCAGGAAGTTGAAATCTATATGAAAAGTAGGAATCAGGCGAAAGGGGAAGTTGGGGAGATAGAAAGAGAAGAGTGTTCCTGGCAGAGGGAATGTTATATGTATCACATATTAAGGAACATGCATAACATTGAGTCCAGACAGAATTTGACAGGGTCAGGGTGAAGCTGGTTTATAAAACACAAAGAGGGGAGAGGTAAGAAATGATACCAGTCAAGTAAGAGAAGCCAGACTGAAAAGACTTTGTAATTTATGTTAAATCTGACCCTTAAGAGCCAGATTAATTATTCAAAAGTTTAAGACAAGACCAGATAGGGCTGTGTTTCAGAAAAATCACTCTGGCTGAAGGGGTCACATGGTTTGGAGAGATACAAAAGTTGAAGTGGGACCAGGTAGGATTCTGTTGCAGTGATGTAGGTGAGAAATATTTGTGGCCTGGCTTAAGGTAGTGGCAATAGGATTGAGGCAACTAAAGAGATTCAAGAGATGGGTAAAAGGGACAGGAATGGCATTAAGGGAGAAGGAAGAACCATCACCAATATTTGGTTTCTGTCTTGGGAATCAGGGTGGAGAGTAAAGTCATTCCTAAAATGAACAGCAGAAGAAAAGTAGGCTTGAAAGGAAGCAAAGGGACATTGGGTATCAGTTCAGTTTGGAGTATGATGAATTCGAGATGCTTATGGGCTATCCAAAAAGAGCTCTGGTGGCACAGTGTTTAAGCGCTCAGCACTACACAAGAGGTCAATGGTTCAAACAACCAGCTACCCCATGGGAGGAGGATGTGGCAGAAAGATGCCGTAGTCTGCTTAGATGACAGCCTGGGAAACCCTATGGGGAAGTTCTACTCTGTCCAAGAGAATCACTATGAATCACAATCTAGTTGAAGGCAATGGGCTGGGCTGGGCTGTCTAAATGGAGATAGCCAGCAGAAAAATGAAAATGGATTTGAAGGTCTGGCCACAGATATGGTTAAAGAGATAGATCTAGAAAATGATTAGCATTTGAAAGGTAAATGACACCATAGCAGTGAAAGAGAAAATCCATGGAGAGAATGCAGAGAGGAAAGGCGCCCTGAACATTAACATTTAGTTGACATAAGAGGAAGAAGAACATGAAAAGAAGATTGAGACAGAATCTCATTTTTTTTTTTCCAGCAAGAATGGTGGAAAGAAAGCCAGGAGAATGTGGCACATGGAAACCAAGGGTAATGACTGTGTCAAGGGTTGTGTGGTGAGCTGCCAGTCACAAACGTTGGTAGAGGTCAAATAAGACAGGGACCAAGAACTCTCTCCATTAAATTTAACAAAGGAGAGGCAATTTCAGAGGTCTGGTTAAGGCAGAAGGCTGTGCTGGGTTAAAGAATGAGTTGGAAGTGGAGTAGTAGAATCCGATACAGTATGTTGTTGTTGTTGTTATGTGCCATCGAGTTGGCCCCGACTCATAGCGACCCCTCCTTGGGTTTCTGAGGCAGTACCACTACGGAAGTAGATTGCCCCATCTTCCTTACGAGGAGTGGCTGGTGGGTTTGAACTGCCAGCCTTCTGGTTAGCAGTCAAGTGCCTCAGGTACTACGCTACCAGAGCTCCCCCGATACAGTATACAATACAGATAAAGATTGATTGAATAGTAACAAAGACAATGAGAGGATGATGGATAAGTCTTTTCTTTCTAAAAGATGGGAGGAAGAAACCAAGAAAGAGAAAAAGAAAGGGTGAGGAGAGGAAAAGGGAAATCATGTAATAATAATAAAGTCAATTCACCGAGACAGCAAAGCATGCCTAAGTGTGTATGCACCAAACAACGGATCTTCAAAATACATTACACAAAAACCGACAGAACTAGAAGAAATGGACAAATCCACAATTATAGTTGGAGATTAAAACACCTCTCTCTCAATAATCAGTAGAACTACTAAACAGAAAATCAGCAAGGATATAGAAGAACTTCATCAACCAACATGATATAAATGACTATTTTAGAACAATCCAACCAACAACTATAGAATACACATTCTTTTCAAGTAGGAGTTTGGGTGGCATAGTGCCTAAGGCATTTGCCTGCTAACCAAAAGCTTGGTGGTTCGAACCCACCAGCCACTTCATGAAAGGAAGATGGAGCAATTCTGTAAAGATTTACTGCCTGGGGAACCCAGTGAGGGTGGCTATGAGTCAAGTACTCATGGAATATTCACCAAGACAGACCCTATCCTGATATGAACCAATCTCAACAAATTTAAAAGAAATGAAATCAAACTGTGTCCTCTCATCACAGTGTAGTCAAACTAGAAATTATAACAGGAAAATCTCCAAACACTTGGAAATGAAACAAAACACATCTAAATAATCCATGGATCAAAAGGAAGGCTCAAGGGAAACAAACGACTACACTGGATTCAATAAAAATGAAAATATCTTAAATACACAGTTTGATACAGGGCACAATATTTTCATCTAATTTATAGCAAGTCACTAGGACCGTGCTTTGAACAGTTAACCTTCTCAGAGTCGTGAGTTACTTTTCGCACACTTCCTCTTAGCTAACACACTGCACACAAGAGGAGCACCTGCACATCCTTCACTCAGATCTCACTGTAGCTATCCTCTTGATAACATTGTCCCACTTGAGAAGCTGCACTTCTTTCCTTCTTTCTTCCTCCTCTTCTTTATGTATTTTTTAAATCAGAGAGAAAGGTTTTAAATCAACATTTTAAGGAGAAAAATGAGATTATGTTACCTAAATCTAAAATCACCTTTTTTTCTATTAATTTTCTGTCATAGCCTCATTTCATATACAACGCAACATGGAATAAACTCCCCCCAAAAAAACCCAAACCCATTACTGTCAACTCAATTCCAACTCGTAGCAACCCTACAGGACAGAGTAGAATTGCCCCATAGGTTTCTAAGGCTGTAATTTTTACAAAAGCTAACTGCCACATCTTTCTCCCATGAAGCAGCTGGAGGGTTTGAACTACTGATCTTTTAGTTAGCAGCTCAGTGCTTAACCACTGCACCATGAGAACTCTTTTACAACATGGAACACTAGGTATAACAGGAGATTACAACAACCAAGTAATAAAATCTAGCATCTTCAAACTAGCACTTACTGCATGACGAGTGATATAAAAAGGGAAGGAATTTGTGTGTATAAATTATGTCAACACTTTAACTCAAAATTGAAAGAGTCCATGTATAATAATGCATCTGTGTTTCTCTTGATTAAATTAACACAGCTTTGATTTTTAAAATATTATTTATAATGAATATCCAATAAAGCCTTACCAGAGCCATGATATCCGATATGACAAGAACAAAAAGAAAAAGACTAAAAAAGAAAAAAAATTTTTAGAATGAGATACAATATGACATACATATTTTCAAGCACATTAAAACCCAATGAAAATAATCACCTAATCCTACATTTTAATGTTTTGCTCCTAAAAATACTACTTTTAACAGTGTCCTTTTCAAATTATCATGGGTGACTGTTCCTCATTTATGAGCTGAATTTCAACAATGTGATTGAAAACTTTGAATAGTTATTTCAGTGATATAAAAGGGACAGGAATTATTGTTATTAAGAAACTATTATATTTAAAACCACAGGTTTATTATAGAAATATAACTCAATATTTCACATAATATTCTTCTAAGACTCCTCTCCCAGTGATGCATTCAACTCCAGCAGTGAGTTGTGGCAACATGGGACACACTGTCCACCAAGGAGGCTGGCTAGACAGTCAGTGCCTAGGACTTTTATCAGCGGCTCTTCACATGAACACTCTCTGCCTAGCTTATAACAAAACTCCAGACCCCAGAATAAGGCGGGAGTTTAGCATAAACAATATTGTTTGCACCAACAGATACAGTGAAGCATTCATGTTGGGATGGGGGGAACCTTCCCAAATCCAAGTTTCCAAAGGCCAGCAATGGCCAAAGTAGCAAGCAGGCCTTTCTAAGGATAACAGGAACTCTTTCCTGCACAAGGACTAACGTCATTCTTTTGCATGTGACTATCCAGATGTTCCAATACATTTCTGAGAAATAAGACAAAAGATACAGCTAAACTTCCAGCCCATTTTATTTTGCTTTTTTTTCCTTTTTCTTCCTCCACTAAAATCTATAGTAGGCACAGTTATGTCTGTAACAAGGAAGGAATTAACAAAATAGTAAGTTATATGTTACTGTTTTCTTCACTAACTTGAAAAATATTTCAGTAATATTTTATTGCTGAGAAAGCAGATCAGTAGTCTGCTAAAAAAGCTAATTGCCTCGAATGATGGCATTTTCATTTTGTAACAATCTTATAGCAATCACATGAAATACCCTCAAATGTTTACTCTCATTTCCTGAAAAATGGACATAGCAAATACTTTTTTTGTGTGTTCCTTCCCCTCCCCTCCAACCCCCGGCAACCGACAAAGAAAGTTTCCCTCTCTATATAAACCTTTCCTTGACCCTCCACAACAATGAACCAATACTATATTTGTCCTTCTGTGATTGACTTATTTCACTCAGCATAATGTCCTCCAAGTTCATCCATATTATACAGTGTTTTGCAGACTCCACATTATTCTTTAGTGCTGTGTAAGATTCCATTATGTGTACCATAGTTTGGTCATCCACTCTTCCGCCGATGGGCACGTAAGTTGTTACCATCTTTTTGCTATTGTAAATAGTGCTGTGATGAACATGAGCGTGCATGTATCTGTTCCTGTCCTGGCTCTCACCTCTCTAGGATATATACCTAGTAATGGGATTGCTGGGTCAAATGGTATCTCCAATTCCAGCTTTCTAAGGAATCACCATACTGCTTTCCATAGGGGTTGTATCTCTTCACAGTCCCACCAGCAGTGTATGAGAGTCCCAATCTCTCCACATCCCCACCAGCATTTGTTATTTTCTGTCTCGTTGAACCTTGCCATCAGTGCTGGGATGAGATGGTATCTCGTTGTTTTAATTTACATCTCTCTGATGACCAATGATTGTGAGCATCTCTTCATGTATTAGCTGACCACCTGAATATCCTCCTTGGTGAAGTGTCTATTCATGTCTTCTGCCCATTTTTCAATTGGATTGTTCATTCCTTTGCTCTTGAGACATTGGAGTTTTCTATCAATCCTAGAGATAAGTCCCTTGCCATATATGTAATTACCAGCAAATACGAATTTGTTGCTGCTATTTTTGTTACGTGCTTTTTTATTGTGTCGATTTCTTTGTTCCATATAATTTTCTAGGCTGAGCTCGTTTTGTTTATGAATTGTGTTATTACTTCCTTCGTTGCTATTGTTTTAGTATTTCCTAAATACTTGTGCTGATCCTCTTTTTTATTTTTATGTGAAAGTTTATGATTTTTCTTTGAGGTTACCCTCTGACTTATAGTTTTCTTCTCAAGTTTAGAACAGTCCGTTCTATCTTGTAGTTGTCTTGACTTCCCTACCATCTAGAAGTTCTGTAATGACACAGTATTTTCCCTCTTTTTGGTTTGTGGTTGTCCTCATTTGTCAATTGATGTCTCTGGTTCCCTGCTTACAATCTTGTAGGCTTATTTACTTTGGACACTTCCATAGCTGGGGTGGTTTCTGAGTTATGTCATCATGTATGTTAATGGTCAGTTGTTGTTTGCTGTTGTTGCTTCTCTGCCCAAAGGACTCCCTTTAGCATGTCTTCTAAGGTTGGTCTAGTTTTAACAAATTCCCTTAATTTCTGTTTATCTGGAACTGTCCTAATTTCACCATCATATTTGAGGGACAATTTTGTTGGGTACATAATTCTTGGCTGGAAGTTTTTCTCTTTCGGGGTTTTAGATATACCATCCCATCGACTTTTCGCCTGCATGGTTTCTGCTGAGAAATGCGAGCTTAGTCTTATTGGTTATCCCTTGTAGGTAATTTTTCGTTTTTCCCATGCTGCTCTCATGATTCTTTCTTTGTCTTTGGTTTTAATGAATTTGATGATGATATGTCTGGGTTTCCTTTTAGAGTCTATCCTGTTTGGGGTTCGTTGGACTTCCTGAATGGATATATTCTCATCTTTCATCATACCAGGAAAATTCTCCTCCAACAAATCTTTGACAATTTTCTCTGTGGTTTTATTTGTGTCTTCCTGTTCTGGAATTCTGATTACACATAGGTTATTCCTTTTGATGGTATCCCACATGAACCTTAGGCTTTCTTCATTTTGTTTTGATCTTTTTTCAGATTGACCCTTTTCCAAAGAAGTATTGAGGTATTTGCCTTCAATCTCACTAATTCTGTCTCCCATTGATTTAATTCTACTCCTTTGTCCTTTCAGTATCTTATCTATTTATGAAAATTTAGTATTAATCTTCTGGATTTCTGTGTGTAGACTTTGTATCATTTCTAATTTTTCATTTATGTTGTCATTTTGTTCTTGTATTATCTTTCAAAATTATTGTAAGGTTTTCTCTGTGTTTGCCTCAATTTTGTCAGTGTTTTCCTTGATCTGTCTCTCAATTCATTGAAGATACCTAAGTATAATTCTTTTGAATTCCTTATCAGGGAGTTCCAATGCTGTGTCTTCCACAGGAATGTGCTTTGGGTCTGTATCCTGGTCCCTTCTTTTTCCTGCTTTATGTTGCTTCGTTATGTGGACTGTGATGCTCTGTTGTCTCTGAGGCATTGTGACGTTTTTGTGTTTATATTTAATTGGTGATTGTACATTGCAGTTACTTGCCCACAATTTTCATTTTCTTTGTTTTGTTTGTATGTTATCTACATAAGCAGGGTACTGTGCTGTGCTCCTCTATCGCTAGTTGACAGCACTTATACACTCACCACCTGTTTCCTTTCTTGTTGTCAGCCTCTCATATGTCCCTGACATCCTTGGCAAACAGAGCCTATTCTTAGGTCCCTGGAATCCAAAATCCATAGCAAATGCTTCTTAAGCTTTTATCTTACCTTTTAGATGATAACTGGGTAATTAACTGAACTGCTTCAAAAGCACACATCACAAGAATAAAGGGGACTAAAATCTGTTTAAAAGAAAGGCAAATGATGCATGAGCAACTGAGGTGTTTGAAATCCATTTTGAAAGAAACACTATTACTGCTTTCACAAATATTTTCCAATTCTCAAATAACTTTTATATAAACTCCCCACCCACTGTCATCAAGTCAATTCTGACTCATAGCGACCCTATGTTGTTGTTGTTGTTATGTGCCGTCGAGTCGGCCCCGACTCATAGCGACCCCTCCTTGGGTTTCCGAGGCAGTATCACTATGGAAGTAGGA